TCAACTAACTGTGACAACCAGATTCTAAACTACTTTAGCCGCAGCCAACAAACAGATAATGTGAAGCTGACTATTAAGTAGAGTACAGTTCCCTGTATTAAGTTGATTGTAGCAAAAAGGTACCCTTAGCAATTACTTGGAAAATTAGGAAGTTGGCTGAGTGCCAGCAGTGCGCCAGTCTTTAAAGCTTTGAATCTCGGAAGTAACATTATTGCCGCTTCGAGCTTGTTGTCTGCAAATAATAGAACTCAACTGTTTCGGTGTAGAAGTCTTAATCGCTACTGTTTTGAACATTTGTTTCAGAACTTCTTTGACTTCTTACAGGAGTGTTCTCGTTCCGCATGCAGTTTTTCATCTTATCTCATTTAAGCACTTTTTTGACATTTAGGTCGATATGTTGTTCGAATTTTTTTTTTACATTCTGAATATCACTAAAGCTGTTGCCTTCACTGTGAGTCCTATCTTTTTCTTGCTTCCTTTACCCAAATGCTGCTACTTTTTTGTTAGGCCGTTTGTATGCTTAAAACTTAATGTTCTTCTAAAATTTTGTACTTTTCAAACATACAAAAAGTTTTTCCAATTACCGCTTTTTTTGTTCCTTTTTAACAGCGACTACGTATCAGTAGTTTAGAGAAGGGTTATTAATCTTCAGCAGTTGCTGTTTGGTGTTGCGTTTGTATGAGGTATTAAGCGAACTGCAGATCAAAACAGCTCAAGAAGAGTTATTTAATGGAGACGTTACTGGCTGTTCACGGGGGAGCGGGTTATCATAAAGGAAAAGTTGATGAATTGTGTGCTGAAGTTTTAAGGCAAGGAAAGCGCGACTTGATACGTGTGGTGAAGGTTGTTTCTTTTCTTTTTTTTTAGTGGAATATAGTAACACTCTTTTGAGCTTTTTTTTTTTTTAAGTTTGTGTTCAGTAAACTTTTAAAAGAAATAAAAGCCTATTTACATTAGCACTAAAGCACCGGAGAGTTTTTACAGAGTTTTTTTGTTTTCATTTCACATGGTGCAGGATTCCTAGTGAAATTTCTATTGGAGAGAAAGTGGGCAATTTGACTCAGCGTTTACTAACGTTTGAGATGGAAGTTGCAGGGAAGTATTTAAGAACCGCTAAAGAGTTTGAAAAAAATTGACAGAGTACTGGCTTTTGTTTAAACATATTCTTTGAATGGAGAGTGGTTTTTGAGTTATGTTCTGTAAACTCACCACAACTTTCGTGCTTCAGTAAATTTTACTCACTCCTTCTGGTTAGAACAAGTCTCATCATTCGTCCTTGTACCATTAATCAAGGTATGTTTGGTATATTTCAAAAGTTTATAGTTATTGGAAGATGACTCGACCACTAATTGTGGAACCGGTTCAAATTTAACAGTCAGTGGCGAGGTCGAGTGTGAAGCAGCTATTTCATACTCAAAAGGCCAGTATTTTATTACTGCACTATTGACGTGCTCGGCTTGAAATGTTTTACCTTCAATTCTTTCTGTTTTTTAGGTAATTCTAACAAAGTAAAATTCAGATATTATTTATTTCCTTCAAAGTTATTTGATACAATAATAATTTTTTTAGGCAATATGTTCGGTGCTATTGGGTCTGTAAAACGTATACGAAATCCTATAGAGGTTGCTTCAATGCTAGCTGAGGATAGTACAAATTATAGTTCTGGTTTAGTTCCACCTTCAGTTCTTGTGTCGGAAGGGGCAGAGAAATACGCTGAAAGCAAGGGAGTTTTGCTCTGTTCTAATAGTGATTTGATAACTAGTGAGGCAACTTCTCAGTGGCAGAAGGCTAGAGCGAAGGTGGGTATCGGGAAAGAAAACCGTCTAGATACAGTTGGAGCCGTTTCGGTAAGTTTTATTATTTTTTTATATACTTTTAAGGGTAGTCTGCCTTTATTAGCAGAGGTAGATTTGAAAGGAAGAGAGAGGGAGGGTGGGGGATGAAGAATAACTGACAGAATTAAAGATCTCTTTTATTTCACTTGTATTACCTTTTTATTTTTAAAAACAGGTGATCTTATTGCATTCTTTACTTAAATTTTCCAGCTTAGTAATGAAGGATATTGCTCTGCTGCCTCCTCCAGTGGAGGTTTTGTTGTGAAAGCAAGTGGTCGGCTTGGGTTGTGCACACAAGTTGGTGGTGCTGTCTGGGCGGAACAGCGGGGTAAAAGAAATGTAGCAGTTTCTCTTTCAGGATGTGGCGAATATATTTCTAAAACGTTGCTGGCATATAAGCTAGCTTCGGCCTTACTTGAGTGGTTAGTAGTTCCATCGGGGTTCTTCATCGCCTTACTGATTTACTTTTAGTTATGCAAGCATGACAGTTTTCATTTCTTACTGACTAGCTTTTCAGCCATGTTTAATTCAGGGATAGTGAGTCTGGACTTCTTTCTGAATGCGTTCAAGCGACATTTACAGATTCATTTTGTAACTCACCACTTTTATCTTGTCGTCCGAAGGATCGGGTTTTGGCTGGTGGATTGGCGCTTTTTGCTGATTTAGGTTCTTTAGTTTTATATAACAGTTTTGTCACGGAGTTTTAACATGAGCAACTCTGTTAATTCCGTAATGATTTGAGAAGCGTTCTGAAAAAATTTTACTGTAGCTGAGAAAGGTTTACTTACTGAGAGGCTCCGTAGGGTTCATTGGCCTTCTTTTTTTTCTTTTTTGTTTTTTAGTTTTTCATGAGGGTGGCGAGTGTTCTGTTTTTGTTTTGTACACTTACTCGCATATAACCGAGTGAGGTTTCAAAACAGCAGTTTGTATAGCAGTCTGATGAGTAGCTCGGTGACGGGCGTTGGTGCTTAAGCAGACTGGAATATCCGTTCATCACGTCCATTTTAAATTCTGAGGATCACTGTGTAATTCTAGTGACTGAAGGTTGTTTCAGAATATTTCATTAGAATTTTAAAGTTACAGTAAGTATTCCTAGCATTTCTGGTTTGTGGTTTAGGGTATTTCTTCATTTTTCTATTTAGTCGGTAGTTATTTAAAAGTTGTCACTGTTAGTAGCGGAACTTCTGTCTTGCTGTGCGTCTAAATAATTAGATGTATGTATCACTTATTTTTGTATTTTCAGACTCGGGTTGTGCCGAACTGCTGGCATTTCATAACACTGCACATTTACCGTTTGCTTTTGACGACGGTGGAAAAATTAAAAAATTTTTTTCCCGGAAGGCTAGTGAAAGTGCTTTTATTATCCACGCTTTTCCCATTCATTGTTTATGATGACCGGTTATAGCTTTTCATTTTCCTAGTTACTGAGTTCGTTGCTACTTTAGGTCTTTAAAAATAACCTGTTGACTGTTGAATTTTTATTTTGTTCCGCAAGCTTAATAAAAGCTTTATTTTTTGTAAAACACTACTGGTTTCGTGGGAACTGCAGTATCGTTGTCCATAGTTAAACATATTTATTTGTACTTCTGAACCGAACGAGTTAGCGTTGGTTTAATGAGTAATTTTTCCTCTAAATTTTTGTTTTTCGGTCTAGTATTTGTGTATCATACGTTGCCGCTGACGCGAGGGGTGCAGTCGGTAGTTTACGGTCTTTAAGTTATTTTTGATCAGCTATCTTCAGGCTGTTTAAATGGAAACAGCTGCACCACTCAGGAAAAAGTTTGTGATCCCAACGAGAGATGACGACCTTTTAGAAAAAACTGATGACTTTTATACTGTGGAATTAAGTCCAACATTAGAGGAACTTGAAGAAAGTATTGGTGGTTGGTTTTTCCCATTGGTTTCTGTTAAGTGTCTGGTTTTTAAAGTGTTTGCAACACTAATAATTGAAGGTGTTGACTATGGAATCGTAACCTCCACATACTATTTCAGGTTTGCGATCTGAAATTGAACTTGAAAATTGGAAGGGTGTTTTGGATTACTTCGACTATCTCTTTTTTTTCGTGCGGTCAGTAGATTATTTCGTTTTTTTTTCCTGCATTCTTTGCTTCAGGGATTTGATGATATGATTTTTTAGCTTTAAATATGAAGACGACCCGTGGCGATACAGAACACGTTTAATTCCACTGCTGACAAAAGGTATTTATGTACTTTTTACTGTAGTATCATCTCTTAAAGTAGTGTATGATATGTTTTCAGGTCTTTATTTAGTATTAGATAGTTTTGAAAAGCTTCTTGACATATTGGCAAAGGCAGAAATTGACTTTCTTGATGGTGATGATGCATCTATTGAGCGCGAGCTACATCTATGTGGGGTACAAATGTACTTGTACTTGTTGTGCCGGATCTCTTACATGTTTGAAGTTGAAACGCAAAATAGGTATTGCTTTTGTTGTTTTATAGATAACTTTTTTTCAATTATTGCGGACATTGATGTATGGGTGTTTAGGCAGAAGAGTGTGTCTGGATTGACAGTGAAAAAGGGAGCTCGTAAAGAAGTTGCTTCCGAGGATATAAAAAATTTTATCAGTTTTTGGACCAGTGAGAGGGAAAAAGTAGTTGAGGTTTTATTGAAGATGACTGCAATGAGTTTTGAAAGTAGTGATGGTCGGTCCCGGAACTGTGCTATTCGTTTTCTCTGGCAACCGCCAATCGTCTGTCCAAATTTCCTTAGGTTTGTTCGTCATGAAAATGCGGACTTTTGCTTTAGTTCAAATGAGCCCTTGACGTTTGTAAATGTTTACCTTATTTCCAACGATATTCTAAGGCTGTCGTTATTTCTGTTTATGTTTCGTCAGTTTTTTGCAGGTTAATTGAAGATCTAGCTTTTAAACTGTTAGAAAATCCGGACCTCTCTAAAGTCAGTCATCGGCCCTGGCTTCATACGATTTTTAATTTTTTGCGTACGATCGCAGTCGATTTTGATGATTATTCAAGTTAGTTTTTGGAAATGCTACCAGAAACGAGTTTTCCGCTAGAGTTTCTCTTTTTTCCTTTTCCTAATTCGGTTCATTTTTAGTTCTTTTATTAGTTTAAAATCTTGGATTTTAGAAATTGGCGAAAGGTTGATTCTTTTAATGAAACATTTGGACTATCTTGCTTCGTCCTCGGTTAGCCATTCTCTCTTTGTTGAAACCATTGAAGCAGTTTCTCAAAATAATGATTTAGATCCACTACTGTTATCGATGTTGAGTAAATTAGGTTAGCTCAAAATTTCTTCATTTTGCTTTATTACGGAGCCCACGTTTTTTCGCCAATATTTTTGATTTTATTACGGCTTTATGGGGTTTAGTCCACTATTTGAATGGCTAGCATTGTGACTTTTAGACCACATGTCATCAATTAACCAATTGTAGGGCGCTTTTCCTCCTCAGATTTTGTTAGAAACGACGTATCCTCTCGTCCCTTCGCTCTGTTTATAACAACTTTAGCCGCGAGGAAGCCACAGTTATTGAATAAAAATTTAATTCTTATTGCTCCATTTTTATCTGATGACGTAAATCACTATTTTGATATTTCATTTCCTTGATTGTTAACTTCTAATATTTGATGGTATAAGTTGAAAGTTTTACAGTTTTTGTTATGTAAAATGCTGTTTTTCTTCCAGCAGCCAACTCTGCGATGTGCTGTTCTGACGTCCTATTATGAAGTTGTTACTCATATTTACAGTGGAAGTGATCTGGAAAATCCAGATTGCCAAGTCAGAGATAAACTTCTTCTTTGCCTGCAAGTATGATTAAATGCTTTTTCACGTTTTAGTTCTATGAGTCCTACAAGTATTTTGATTATTTGAAACTAGTTGAGTCTGTTGTTGTGAAATTGTGATTATGATTTTTTATTTTAGGATCATATCGTTGATGTGAACGCGAACGTTAGGTCTCGCGCACTGCAGCTTTGGACCAAGCTTGCAAAAGCTTCACAGATCCCTATAAACTTTATACAAAATTGTTTAATAACCGATGCAGCTGGTCGTTTACTTGACAAGTCACTTTTTGTGCGCAAGAATGCTGCCGCTTTCTTATGGACTTTTTTGGATTATAATCCTTTCGGCCCCTCTGTAAGTCATATTTTCATTCAACTTCTAAAAATTTTGATAACGCAGTTATCTTCAGAGGTTTTCTTGGACAGCGCATTCCTTACAGTTTTTTAGTTGTCTTCTGAAGAACTAAAGACACAACTCAGTCTGGCCTTCGACGAGTATAAAGAACTAAAGAAGGATAGTCCAGGTAAATTATAAGCAGTTTTTCCAACTTAGCGCTGTTTTAGCTGTTACCGTTGGGTTTTATGTTTATGGTTTTTTTGGTCACCTCTTAACCGTTTACTGGGACCAGAATTTCAGAAAATGACTTGGTTAAATCAGTCATGGATAAGTGGAAAAGTATCCAAGACGATGTTATTAAATGTATCGAGAGGGCTATTGCACAGGAAGGAGATGGGAAAGAAATAAGTCTTATCGGTGCCGGTGGTGACTTTGTTGAGGGACAATCGAGAGAATGTGAAAGTAGTGGTGTGTAAATTTTTTAATATTTAATTTGACCGGTAGTCACTATTGATTTTTATTTCGTTGACTTCATTGTTTTCAAAAAACAGTTTCTGCAGTTGATCATGTTTTATTGTTTGTTATTTCATTTTTTACAAACTTTTTTGTTGTTTTATTTTGAAGAACTTCCTAACAAGTTGGAGAGCGATCAGATTACCGAGTTTTATGGAGAAGTGCTAAGGAGTATAAAACTCAAAAGGTTTTCAATTCCCGTTTCTTTAGCTTATGAAGATTTAAAGAATGGTATTACTCTTTTCAGTCGGATGAGAGCGCTACAATTCTGAGTTTTTTTCCACTTATTTTGTTTTATGATGACGTGTACCTTTGTGATTTCGTTCGTTTTAGATGGGAGAAAGCGTTTGTTGAGCTGGTTGTAGAAGAAAAAACTCGTAGTTCTGTGATCACCGCTTTCGTCATCGCCGCGCTGAAAGGAGAGCTTCTGGATATCGACTTGTTCGTTGCATTCGATTTAATGTCGCGTTATTTTGTTAGAGGATTCTAAACAGTTGTTGGTAGACGCTGACAAGAAGGTTTTTAGTTTTCGTTTTGAGAATATTTTTTGATCACAAAGTTTTTTTCAGGGGTGCTGGCCAAGAAGAACTTGTTCAAAAAATTTATGATAACCTCAGTCAAAAGTTTCTTGGTAGGCATTTTGAATGTTGTAGCATTTTTAAAATATTTACATTTTCATATTATATTAGCAGAATTTTAGTCACCAAATTCCTTTGTCGTTATTGTAATAAAAAAATATTTAGAAAACTGTGTAAACGTACAGTTAAATGATGATGAACAGTTGCTCTTGGAGGAAGATAAGATGGAAGATTTCGAAGACAAATTATTGAAAATTGAAAAGAAGATTGACTTTTTACAGGTAGGAGTTGAAAGATTTTTTGTCGATTTTTTAGTGTGTATTTTATTTAAACTCTGCTTAATAGTTTACATAATTTTTGAGGGCGCGCTTGTTTTTGCCCTTGAGATGGAAAATTGTTTGGAAGTAGCTGTACGTTCTGTGATGACTGGTCAGGCAGGCGAGCTGGGGGAGATCATCAAACTTTTAGTGGAAGCGAGTAAATTTGAGATTAAAGGTTCTTCTAAGGCTATTCGGGAGCTGTTTCGCGTTGTCTGGAAAAGAGATAGCGGAGTTCAGGATGTTCTTGTTAACGCTGCAAAAGATCTTTTTGTATCTTCTAATGAGTGAGTTTGTTCAGGACTATGCATTTTAATTTTATTTTTCATTTTTCTCTTGGACGATCGCATTTCGCGTTTGAAATATCCTTTGTTTTGATTTAAGAAAGCATGAAATTATGGTTCGCAGAACTGCGGAGAACCTTTTCAAAGGGGTTTTGGGAGCGAGCGAAGAAGAAAGAGTTTCAATCGAGCAGGTGTGCGCTTCAGTAGTGCTGTATAAAGCCTCAACTGAATTTGGCAGAGGCTTTGGTGACTTGAAATTAGGATACAGTGCGTCTTTAAGTGAGGCTACTTTTAGGTGATTTACCTGATGATCAAGAATGATGTTTTCGATGAGGAGATTTATGATATAGTGGTTGAAGTGCTATTTGCAGCTTCCGGTCCACTTCGAGTGACAGCTCTTCGGCTTTTTAGTTTAATATGCAAGCAAGTTAAATTCATTTCTGGTTATTTATCTCTATTCTATTTTATTTTTTGCTGTCTTACTATCAAAAAATTTTGGACTTTTTTTCTTTGAGTCATAATTTGGCTTTTAGAGCAAAAAAAACCTTTATGAGGAAAAGATTCAACATTATAATTGACCTGGTCCATATCGAAGGTTTTTTTGAAGCTGATGACGGGACATTAGCAGGGGAGTTCTGCAGTTTGGTTGCTATGTTTGGGAGCCTTCCAGATATGAAAACTTTACAAAGCATAAGTAGGACGCCGTTTAGACTGGAAGATTCTCATCAACTTTTTGAGTACATCCATAGTTTGATCCTTCACGGTGCGTTTACTTGCCTTCTCAATTGGAAAGCTGTGCTTCAATTCTTTCCAAAAAAGCCATCTGCCTATGATTTTCTGCCCGCTTACTACCTTATTTTCAGCTAGTACCATTTGTTGCGTACGAGTCACTCTACTTAGAGAGAGGGCTTTATAACAGTTAGACAAATAAGTTAGATCTGGGTCTAATTAGATATATTATTAAATTGGCACGTTAGAACCGCAATGGTATTTTTAAGTTCAGGTTTTACCATCAAGAAATATCGGTGGATTGATGTCATTATAAAGGGGCTGAATGCCATTTTCTATGTTGATGCACAACCCAGCTTAAGAATCTCCAACCTCTCAAGTGATTTAGTACGGATTACCAAATTTGTCTTGTCGGAAGCAATAAAAGCGAAAAAGTTGTGCAGCAGTTTAGGATCTGGTGACAAATGGTAATATTTCTTAGTTTTCCTTCCTCATTTTGATAATACATTGTAAATGATAAGTAATCCCCTACTCATGTTCCAGTGAGCCACAAGATGCTGCAGGGATTTGCCCAATTGACGCACAAAGTCTTATTGAAAATGAGGAAGCGTGGTTGGCTAGGAATGCTGCAGTATTGAGTTTAGATGATAGTGCTAGTAAGATTGCTGATTTGGATTTTGTTTGCTCAGAAGACCTGCAAGGAGCTATTTTAAATCAGCTCAAAGAGGAAATTTCTACGTATGCAGAAGGTGCTGTCGAGTGCTGGGATTTGGTAGCAGAACGACTGTGCTTTTTTGCCGGCGAAGTAAAACAATAATGAAAAAAATTCATTTATGTGGTTTTATTAACTTCACGATAGCAAGCTTTTGGTTTTCTTAAGGTTGCTCTCAAATTTCTTATACATGTGGACGTTTCCTTCGTCGCCGAAATGAAACGGAAGAATGAATTGCTTCATTCCCTTTATGGCGGTTCAGCGAAAGATCCGACTGTGGCCAAGATATTAAAAACAGTTAAGGATTTTCCAGAGGATCGGCAGCTTACACAGCTAGAAAGGGACTCAGTTAACAGATGTGGTTTATTTGAACTACTAGAATACGAAGATGAAGATCGACTGGGGATGAGCGGTGTTGTTTTGTTTATTTCCGCAAATCTGCTTTTCTTCTCTTTTAGTGCTGTAGATTTGTCGAGGCAGGGGGGTTCTGGCCTTCAAGTGGACAATAACTTGTTTTTTTGAAGATGGTGGAAAGCCGTTCAAGCTACTTTAGCGTTACGTGAATTCCAAAGCAACATTTTTATAATGTCGTAAATATTGTGATGTTGGATCTCAGTCATTTTTACCCTTGC